AAATAGTTTCTTTTTGGTTCCAGGTGGAATGAAGTGACAGCTTGCCTGTTGTGGTATGAATTAAGACAATTGTTCCACACATAGAGTCCTGTAGAATCCCTGCGGTTAAAAAGCTGTCACGTCTTAATTCGGACTGAAAAGGGTACTTTCTCCGTCCAGAAATGATTGTCCCCTAACAGACTTGCTACTGAAATAAGCTCAATATTTGGGCAATTTAGATGGTTCTTTTTTTATTAGATTTGTCTTATTTAAGGCTACTTGAATGTGCAATGCGATTTATTGTCACACAAGCAATAATAAAGCTATGAAGCTTCGAGTGGGGCTATTTTTTTAGCCCATTTTTAAGTTACCGGTTGAAAGGGTTCCAACAGTCATTTTGATAAGCCGCTACTTGCATATGTTAGTGTAGGTCTATTACTATTCGAGACTTTACTTAAGATTTGTATTGTTTGATTTCTTATATTGGTCATTTGTGTTCAAAAGAGGTGCACCATACCATTGTCAACATATTGTTTCCTGTGTTAATGCACTTTTAATTTCATGTGCAAAAATAATTTTTTTTCACGCGCATGCTCGTTTCTAGCATCTGGTACTGATCCTACGTATTGTACACAGTCATATTTAATTCGGGGTTAAATGAAACTATTTTGAGAGTGTTAAGTAATTAGGGGACTATCATATCTGGACAGTAAAATTGCAGTCACCGGACGGTCATTTCTGGACGGAGGAAGTACCTATTATTGTGCATAGTACGAATTACATTAATACTGTACGTAGTAGAGAAGTTCACTTAAGTTTGAAATATTACTTCTAGAAGTAAAATAAATGACTTTGAATATGCCTATTTGCGGCATACTGTATCAATCGGATGTTCACGTAAGATTGAAATATTACTTCTATAAGTAAAATGTATGACTTTGAATATGCCCATGGGCGGCATACTGTATCAAGAAGTCATCGCCCTGCCCGTAAAAAATATGTAGCGGTACGTACGACTACCAAGCACTCGTAATCGTAATCGTACAACGTAAAACACGAACAAAAAACTGACATCCAATACCTTGCAAATTGCTAAAGCCATCAAGAATATCAAAAAGCAGGAAGTCGCAAAATAATAACTCCAAAAAATTGAAAATGATATCCTTTAATSATGTTGTTCCAGCTTTATCAGCRTTGATGCTGATAAGTCTTCCATCACGAACTGTTGCTCTTCCTGAGAAGGTATTTTGGGATAACGAGTGGCCGTCTGACTTGACATCGAGTACTACTACGAACAGCGAACTTCTAAAAGGAACAGTATTGTTTTCGCAAGCTCATGTCATTCCATCAAATCATGGAATCAAGAATGATAACCAAGCACATTTAGTTGCTTTACGAAAAACACTTGTTATGTTGAAACCCCACACCATAGATGACAAATCGGTAAGCATGGAATTTACTGTCCGCGACAAAGACGGAAAGATCTTATCTGGCGATGAGCCTATCTCAATGGAAGACCCGGAAAATATTCCACGACAAGACGGATGGGTTGAATTGGGAAAGGTCGACATCGACTTTCCCTCGTCGCTTGAAAACGCCTACGTTGTYCGGTATCAAGAGAATCTGGATTTAATTGTTGGAAGTGAAACCAGCAATGAAAATTTGATAAATATTTTCAATACCGAAAAGAAAGAAATCGAAGCAATAACTGAAAATGGTCATTGGGTTCAGAATATCTATTTGCCAGAAGGATCAGAGGTGCCTGAAGGATCCAAATTYCAACTCACGTGTCAGTCTGAATGGGGGGTAACCGTCAACTACCTAAGAGACAACGAGTGGAGAAGCAGATCTGTGGAAATGAATGACAAAATAGTTATCGTTCTAGTCAACAATATWTGGGTGGCCGAGGGCGATCCTAAACCAGATATCAAAATGGAATTTCCTGCGRCATTGGATAATCCTTATGTCATACAGTACCAGCAAAATCTAGATGATATTGGTAATGATCCCGAAGCGACAGGTCTAARAGAGATATTAGGTAAAATCCCRAACAAGGAAGTTGAAATAAAAACATGGGATGGTTCGTGGGTGAGAGATTTTTATATTCCTTCTGGTTCTACCGTTCGTGCAGGTTCCGCTATTCAGATTACATGCGATTCTTCGTGGAACATAAACGTATATTATCCAAATGTACAAACCGGCGGCTGGAGATTAAGAAATTTGTCCAAGGGCCAAGTCCTGATTCTTGTTTTGAATCCAYACAACAATGCATGGTTGGCTTTTGATGACCTACAGCACAACGAGTATGTCTTTGGTCATAATTTTTACACTGCAACAYTAAAGCCAGAGTGGGTACAACCTGGCATGACCCTCGAATTCGCTGCTTCTACTGGCGAACGAGGTCTCCTAGAAGCATATGTTGGTGCGGTTACTGAATTAATTATTACCACGTTAGATGCGGGATTCTTAACTGAGCCTCGAAACGAGTTCACCTTCCGCGACGACCCAGAAACAAATAGAGAGTACTTCGAAACGACCTTTCTCACCCGTCTCATTGTTGTTCAATACGAAACTATGCACTTTACCGAGATCATGTTGCCAAATGGAAAATTCTACGACAGCGTCAGTGACGATGAGGGGGGGGTATATTCGGGTGATATGAGGCAGCATATCGGCAAGATTCTTCTTTCRCACGGCATTGATTTGGCCAATTATGGCATCTCAAGCTCGCTGGCACAATCAGAATCGCCACATCCATTCACCTGTGCACTTTTAGCTGCCCACAACACTGTGGGAATGTACCAAAACGGAAGAGTAGTCCACGGTCTCAGTGGAGGGAAYGGTATGATTACATTATGGGATTCCACTGGTAATGAAATGAGCCACGAGATTGGACACAATTACGGATTAGGTCACTACGTTGGGGGCTTCGATGGGAGCGTTCACCGTCCAGCCAACGAAATCAACTCTTCCTGGGGATGGGATAGCGAAACAAACACATTCTTTCCCAACTTTGCCCCTGGTGACACGAGAAAGGAGCAATGTCTTGATGGCAATTGCCAGTCGGCATTCCTTGGCAAATACCAGTTTGGCACAGATGCAATGGCCGGTGGAGAACCTCTTTGGGGTTCAAGTAGGTTTACTATGTACACACCCTACGTTGCAAAAATTATTCAGGAATTTCTAGAAGCGAGAGCAATTTGGGATCCRTCGTCTTTGACTGGATTTCGCAAGTTCGATCCTAGTAGCGGGGAGATGAAAGAGTTTGTAAACTATGACAATGGTAGAAAAGTACCCCGCTTGTACCGTGTTCCAGTTACGACTGTTGTAGGATATTATGAGCCTGATCCAACTCGTGGTTTAGAAAGCTACATATATCCGGCATTGCATGGGGCATTCGGGTTTGTGTACAACGATGACGGTGGTTCTACTTCCGGGACATTCGATGGATGCGAACTTGTSATTAAAACAAAAAGAGGCAGCTTGGTCTATAATCTTGAAACATTCATTGATTCGAAAGGAATGAACAAATTTCATGTGAATGTCGCTACAGAAGATGAGCCTTACGAGGCACAGGTTTATTGCCAGAACAAGTTGCGTGCCAACCGTGCCTTGGCAGGACCAAAGGATAGTGAACCGCCGCTGAAATATACAGTAAATGGAATACCCTTTAATGGAGATGATGATGTTCCTCCCACCATTACACCCACAATGCCACCCACAACACCACCCACAACACCGCCCACAACACCGCCCACAACACCGCCCACAACGTCCATTGAATGCAAAGATAGAGATGATTTGGAATATGGAAAGAAAAAGAAGAACTGCAACTGGGTGAAGAAAGGAAAAAAGAKAAAGATAAAAAGAAAATGCAAGAGGAAGTCAAAGAAAATTAGGATTTGGGATTGGTGTCCCSAAACATGTGCCAAAGTTGGTCTTGGAAAATGTGCATGACTTTGTCATCAAAGGTACTGAYGATAATACCGGAGTGTGTTGACTGAAACAAATGGCAATGAGCTCCAAGAACTTGGCCAAAAGGTATTCAAAGGTGGTTTTCGAAGAACTACACTWACTTCGAATACTACTATCATTTCTCCTTTGTATGAGTTCTAGCTTTTCAAAACTTCWATAATCAAAATGGGTTCAAAGAATCACATAGTTTACCAGCATTTCGATTKAAAAAGAAGACGTCTGATCTACTGGACATAATTGTGAATTAGCTKTATCGATGCTAGTGAATTTGCCGAGGAGSAAAACACAAACCAAAAGAGCACAGATATGCTATTCTCGAATTAGTGCTCTKAAAAAACATATCTCCRTAKCAACCATTRGATAGTACTGATAATGTCAACTGAAATAGTATCCTTCAAGCTCAACTATGATAGTAGTTTACAGTGTCTTTTAGCATTTCATAGCGCATTAAATGGTAGTTCAAATAAATCGAAACAAGTTCGTTGTTCGTTGTTCGTTGTTGATCATTGGTTAGTCCGTGACTGTATCCCCTGTGGTAGCGATATATCGTTTCTTTGACCATGTGTATCCTTCCATGCGATGGTGTGCGTACGCCATATAATCAAAGTCGACACCACCTTCCTCTTGCGCTTTAATAACGCTCCAAATGGACCACCCCAAGTGCGAGAGCAAGGAAAATCTTCCGACCTCTTTTTGGAGTGTAGCGCAAAATAAGTTCCATTCTGCGTCATCAGCTGCATAATGGTTTGGGTCTTGCTGCCGACGTGGATACGACGAAAATTTCTTTGCTCGTTGCGGATCCGAATGCAAGAGGTAGTTCCAGAAAAAGGTATCTTGCTGAGCAGGAGTTGGGTATTCTTTGTCCCAGTCGGCACAAAGATTGGTCGCTTCGCAATACTCACAAAATGTGTTGGCGATATCAGCAGCCTTTGTGAAAAGACGATGCATTGTATAATATCGAATTGAATTGAAGAGTATAAACAAAGGTTAGCAAACGAGTGGGGAGAGCAAGAATTGGTTACAATAACAAATGACAATGAACACGGCAGACAGTTGATGACTACCACGAAGAATAACAATGCAGGCCATCATACTGAATTGTCATAGCGGAGAACTATTGCGTCGTTTTTCTTCGATCTGCTTTCTTGGTCGACACCAAGTGAACTAATCATACGTGGTACTTACAATKGGGTTCCAGCCAGCGTATTCGAAATCTATCAGTCGCAACGTGTTTGCGCCTTGGGCGAAATTAGCAGTCGCAGCATTGTTTTCGTCATCGTCGTTGCCGATCAAAATATTCAGCGGTTGACAGTCCATGTGCGTAACGGCAATTCGTCGTATGAATGTCAAAGCTTCAGCGACCGTGGACTTGTCGGCTTCSGCTCGCGCGTGGTTCGGCGGTGGTGGGAGCCTTCTCAGCTCGTTTTCGAGCCAGGCCCACTCGGAGGACAATTGACTCAGGAACAATTCTTCACCTTCGTTCTTGGCCTCGCTGTCGTGTTCGGYCTTCCGCTTTTGRATTGTAGAACGAGCCTCGTTCAGCCAAGATCCTATCGTGYCATAAATAGTAGCAGTAACMRCTTTCGTTGGCCGAGGCAAGACGTCCGACGGAGGAGCGTCGAGGGAATGAAAGGAGGCCATGCGTTCTGCAATCCACGGTGCATAGTACTTCATCTCGCCCCAGGCGAGGGGTCGGGTATTGGTGTAAAATTCTTCGACCCTTCCATTTGCGAATCGACCGTAGATAGTTGGTGCCAGTTTTTCTTTGTGCGAGGCCAGCCAGGCTGCGAATTTTGGTTCCCTTTCCCGATCGACAACCGAGAATTCCGATGCGGTCTCTCCCTTGGTATCGGGATGTATGCGGACCAAGACAGTCTTTGAATTGTTAGATGCCAACAACAGGTGATTACTCAGACCTCCAGTCAATGGCTTGATTTGCAAACGACTGCTATCGCCGTCGTTGTCATTGCTGGGGAGAAGAAAGGGACATAATGTCTCTAGGATGACTTGTATTTGTGTCTTCCAAGTTTCTTTAGAGGCTGTGCTGGCAGCGTCGGTATCGACACGTAGGTTCAGGACTTTATCGCCATTGTTTCGGTATTCAGTGAGCAGTTCTTCCCTCTCGACAAGATCCCTGCTCTTCGACTGTGTTCCGCTATTCCCTTTGACCTGCGTTGCCATACTCTGACTTCTTGGAGTTATCTGAATGAGATATTGTCTGGTTATCCGAGAAAATGGTAGATTCAGARTCCTCATTAAACACTGATTTGGACAGTCTGGTCCAAAATTTATTATCAATAGTGCTGGTATCTATCTCACAATTCATACCATCACTTGCAACTTGACCACTCTAGCTCTAGTCGCAACAGTGAGGTGAGCATTTCTACCTACGCGGTACGCCTGTTCTCACAGAATCTGTGGGGAACACGGTGAGTAAAAAAGTAAAAGGTGATGTACGTACGTCTTCTACTACTTATGGTAAGTTCGTACTCTCCATCATAGGTATGAATAGATAGATGCCGCACGCTGGACGCTGGAAAAACCGGTACGCGCTGGAAAAAGCCGATGGTAYGCCGGTGCTCCTCGGTAGAACGTGCCATTTGATCGGGAAGTGTGAGCAATGCGAGAAAGTCCGTTCAGTTCACCCCATTTTGTCGGGGAGCGCCGTTTTTGTTGGTACGCATCAAAATTTCAATTKATCCCGATAGTAGTCCCGTTGTTGAAAGATACGTACCTCCTTGRCGACTATTGGCAATAAACAACAACGAAAATCCTACGAAACGTACCCGTACCTAAAAACACCCTTTGTTCTGCGCAACGATACAGTAACAGAACGAAGTCCTCGCCCTGGAGTTTATTTTCGATCGCCTTGCGAGGAATTAAAAAAATATTYGACCATGATGCAAGAAAACGGAGCAGATCTAACTGCAGTTGGAGGAGATGGCGTCAAGAGAGAAAAAGATTTCATCGATAAAGTCTGCGACCCTTGCGGTCTTCTTCCCGACAACATCGATGAGGCTTTTGSCCACCAGCAAAAGATGAACAAACTGAAAGAAGCCGAAGAGGCAGCTGCAAAGGCGGAGAKGGAGAACAATGCCGCTGCCGATGAAGCTGTTGGCTCCGTGCTGTCAAACTTCGATTGCTGTAGAAATCCTACACTGCCCCCCGCAGAAGAAATGGTCCAAGACGAGGCCCAGCAGGAGTTCGTGATGAAGGACGTCGTAGTGGAGGACATTCCAGAAGCAGAGGAACCAGTCGCAACCAGTAGCTACCAGTCTCGTGCTCTTGCGGATATTGCTGCCAAAATGGACGACATCGACTTGGAATCTGGTGGTGAAGATATTCCCAGGGGCCAAATAACCGAGGTCGATGGCGTTAGCCTTACGAAGCCCAAAGCTCGGGAGTGGTATAAAGAGCCGTTGTATGCATGCCTTATCGTTTTGTCTGCCACGTTCAGTYTCGCTATCTTTGTCATGGCAATTCTTCTCATTGTTAGAAAGTAAGGAAGACAATTCTCGATACGATCATGACAGGGATTCTATGATTCTACCTGGATAGATCCAAACGATCATGATAATCGCGTTGGCATCATCACTCAAAGTGGGACATCTTTAATTTATTTGAATCACAATACTGTAATAACACATCAATTATAATGTAACAAGCTCATTTCATTTCAAGGCCAAAGCTGTTAARTCYCGTCGATTAAGTTTCGATACAGCTCAAGCTGATTCGGAAAGATGTCATTTTCTTTTTTTAGTTTTTTAAATAGAACGGTATCACAATTGCGGCCATAAAACCATGCATCAGATATCAGTTCCAATTATTTCACACGGAAATTGTATTCGATTACATCTATTTAAAAAAA